TATGTCTCTGCTAGTTGAACCCTTGTTAGATACATCCCTTACCAAACCTTCATGATCTTCATTATCAGCTTGTTCATCACCTCCACTGCTAATACTTCTACCAAATTTAAATCTATCAACGATACTCATGGTATTTTGAGATCTTCGATTTGAACTAGTGCTACTTTGTCTCCTTAAATTATCACGAACGGTACCACTATAAATTTCACTATTGATAGTGGAACCATTATCCAAAATAAATGAATTGGTTGGGGACAAATGTTGTTTGAGATAAGTTATTGGATGTTGAAGTGGGGAAGGTAAAGGGGGTAAAGTTAGCTCATTATAAAATCCATCATTTTCTTTATTTTGTTGCAACTCCTTTGTTGGAGTAGCAACTTTTGTTGAAGAAGAAGAAAATGAAGGAGTTGTGGTATGAATGATAGGATGGCTTCTTATCGTATCATTTTGATTTTGATTAAGTTCTTTAACTGACGAAGTAGGTGAAGTTGAAATAGGTGAAGTGAAAAATTTAATAACAGAACTCCTTGATTGATTATGTTTCTCATCAGTCGGTGTAAATGGTGCAATTTGTGGATTTCCTAAAGATTTTGTGGTCGTCGTCGAGTAACGCGCAGCATTTTTATCGGACTCGTTAATTGTTGGTAAACCACCATCACGCATACTACTTCTCCTAAATATGCCATAATTCAGACTCTGGGTTCTTCTATTCGTATCATTATTACCATATTCTTTAATACTTGAAGGTATGATATGCGAAGGCAACGCGGGGTGAGTTTTACCAGCACTCAGAGAATATCTGCGAATACTACCGAAACTCCCTCGAATCTCTGATGCACCGGGTTCATAATCAACCCTGCTTAATCTATTATCAGCGATATCCGCGTCAGTGGGTGAATCGATCGTTCCTAAACCATCCAACCCTGTTGCCTTTGAGACTTGTAATAATACTATACCACTACAAATCACGAGAAACCCCATTACAACCGTGATCACACTTTTCGGTTCGGCTTCAAAACCTTGTGACAAGATGGCCGAACTCATTATCGTCAGACTTGTAAATGTGACATAATAAACTGGTGTTACCATTGCCGTATTAAATAAATTTAATGCCTTATTCAAATAATTAATTTCTGTTAATAACGTTATCACCACGAATGCCAAGAGCACGTAAAAAAACCAATGTGTGAATTGATTATTTCCTTGAATCGTTTTAATTATTGCCGTACCAATGCCTTGGGTCGTTACAACTGATAAGGATCCAATTAACGAACATATTCCAATGTATACCAGCATGTATCTTGACCCAAATTTTGGTGCTATTTTCCAAATCGTTATTAACGATCCCAATATTGCCAAAATCGCGTATACCAAGAACACTATGAGGAAAGAAAGTAAGGGTTAATCATGACATTAAAAAGGATGAAATATCTATCATTTAATTAATTTTCATTACCAGGTGCGAAAAACATCCTTTTAAATTCTTCGATATCTGTTGCGGTATGTTGATTAGGGGCATGTAAAACAATTATAATTGCGCCGATGATACATTGCAAACAACCTATTTTACCCTGAAAGTTTAACCTCTCTTTTAAGAATATGGAAGATAAGATGGCACTAACAATTTAAAAAAAAAAATTCAACATTTATAGAGATTAAACTATGAGAACGAAGGGTTTAGATCTTTACCTAATTACTACGCTAAGCGCACCTAAGGGCGTAACTAGGATAGCTTGTGTAAAAGCGTATGCAACGAAATTACATATTTCTCCAACAATCACTAAATATAAGATAACATCAATTAGATAATGTCTTACAAATGAATGAAATCTTTTTTATTATTGTTTTTTACAAGCTTACTTAGTATCATTCCTGTCCACCATAATCCATTTGAAAGATAGTTATGGCCTTGACCTGCAACAGATCCGGCTATTCCGAAAAAAAAAAAGATTGACAATTAAAACATCGAGAAAAGAAATCTCTTTTTAAACAAAGAGAAATTTCAAAATAAAATACCTTGAATTTGGGCCTGAATAAGGCCTTTTTTCTTAAACACGAATGATGATCCGATAAATACGCCTATAAATAAATAGTTCCATATTTTTTTTTTTAAAAAAAAAAAAATAGAATTTTGAATTATTGATTATCGTATCATTCCATTCAAAATATAAATAAATGACTTTATTGTAACTTACCACTGGTTATCGCTAGAATTAAACCGGCAGATTTAATTACGGGATCATTTTGATCCAACGAAACTGCTCCATTTGCATTTTCGGCTCTTCGAATTATTAAATCATCCATATTTGAAGATAAAAATGAATTGATATATTTACTCGTTAATAATGATAACAAATTATGTCGGGGGGTATTTTTTTTCTCGTTTCTAAAAAAAAAAAAAAAATAGACTATGCCGTTGAAATGATGTATGAATATGTATGTATGTAAGAATAAAGTGTGAAAATGCGAAAAAAAATTTGTTTTTTTGCAAAAAAGAATTAAAGTTCGTTAAACAAAAAATAATTCCGTAAATATTTATAATTTATCTCCTATCTCCTTAAAATTTTTTTGTGGCTATCCTCTAATTTTTTTTTTTAATCAAAAGAAATAAAGGATGGTCAAAAAATCTTTTTTTTTTTAAATCAAAAGGAAATCGTAAATAAAAAAAAATAAATATATTTTTTTTTTTTTTTTTTTTTCAAATAAGAAAACGAGCGTCGAGACGATTTTTATTATTTATGCGTCTATGATTTTTTTGGTTAAACAAACTTATAAATAGAAATATATAATTATAATTAATAATTAAATAATTTAATTATCCAAAGCTACCAGAGCCTTAATTTCTTTCGATTGGAATTGAAAAAAAAAAAAAAGAAAGAATAAAAGGGAGAGGAAAATTTATAAAAATCAAAAACAAATCAAGACACAAAAAAAACAAGGACCAAAAAAAAAAAAAATAAATAAAATAAAAATAAAAAAGGAAACCAATCAATTTGTATCTTCTTTTTACCTTTTAATATTCATGTGTAAATATATATATATATAAAAAAAAAAAAGAAGGGGATGGGGGAGTTTTAGAAGTATAAAAACGTTACTTTTCTTACACAACTAAAAATAAAAACTAAACAATTGAACAACATGGTTGTTACCAATAAGGAGGGCGTATCATGGAAATAGGGCTGAGATAAACATTCGAATTCAAAGAGTTTTGTTAAAAACATTTGGATGCTAACAAATTTACGGTAATACCACTTATAGAATTTGATCGTAATCTTTTAGATACTCGCCGATTGTAACTAAATACATAATAAATGTGGCACAGCCCTTTTGGATAAACGGCTTGGTTCATAAAAGCCATAGGATCATAAGCCTCAATACGTCTTCTCACATTTTCGTTGTTATTAATAATTAAATGTTTCATGAATTTAATAACTATTGTTATCAACAATGCTATTGCAATCAAATTTACACCATATGGTTTGGAAATCCAACATTTAATTTTCATTTTGGTCAAGATTTCCATCAATATTATAGAAAATTGCCAAATTTAAATTATCTACCCGGCCGATAAATTGAGCACCAATTACAAGTTAAATCTGCAAGATCTATACCCCAAATAAAAAAAAGATTAACGTTGGGGTGATGCGTTAACCATAACAAAGTGAAGACAACCGAAAGTGGGGCAGTTTCTTGCGCCGGACCAAAAAACAAATGCATTTACCATTAACTCATCTCGGTGGGTTTGGTTTTGACGATCCAATGGTTGGAAGTGTTACCACGCAAACGGAGAATCTATTCTTTAACTTTACTTAGCAAACGATTAACAAGTGTTTTCTCCTGTTACATCAGACCATGGGTAAATTGACTTCTAATTTGCGCATACTAGTGTTTCGAAAGGGTTGGGCTAAAGCGATAACTTGTTTCGGATGTTTTCGTCCGAACCCTTCCCAATAAGTGTTGCTCGTGATTTTCAAGTTTATTAGTCAGTCAAGACTTCGGCAACAACAATGATAGTAATATTGTTTACTTACTGCGCCCACTTGAATTGTTTATTACTGCGGCTCATTCAAGTAGGGTTAAAAGCGCGCTGATATTTCACCGATTTCATAATCACAAGGCTTAAAGTTACAAACCGAGTGTGGGGTAATACATGTGCTGCATCATCCTATCTTGAAAATGTTAGGTTTGTCGAAAGCTGAATTATTATTTCTTTTTTTGTTGAAGAAAATAAACGTGAATTCCTGTGCCCACAAAGAACCTAAATAAGGAATACAGTCGTAGATTTTCATAATAATATTGAAAATGATTTATTCTTTAGGGAATCTGCAATGAATGTGAGTGGGGTTCTTTTGTTAAATGACCTCAAAATTTTTTTAGGTCATTGAGGTCTTTTCGTGGCCAGTTGCGAATATCATTGATTGAAAATTTGGTTCCTCTTTTTACAATTTGTTATAATAATGGGAGATCTTGGACCCCTCTGTTACCATTTTTATTACTTCTAATTAAGGATATATCATCCTAGGTGGATCCCCCTTAGGAAATTACGCCATTTCTGGCCCTTCCCCTAATACCAATTTATATATTGACTGAAAAGTGGATTTTCTAAACAAGTATTTTATTTTGAGACTCAACCTACTTTTTTAAATAGATAACCAAAGTTAATCAACTACATTTATAAATTCCGCTATGATCTCATGCGCTTGAATTATTTATTTTTCTTAAATCCTCCGCATTGTTTTTGGAAGAAAGCTTACTTACTATCAATAATATACAAGCATTGTGAAATTGATTATAGATGATTCGTTAAAGACTTCTCTAAATTATCATCAAATTAACGGTGACAAAGAATCTTTTAAATGTAAGATTAAAGTTTTTAATATATCCAAAAATTACGTGATACAATGTAAGAAGCGCGATCGACATACCTCGTGTAAGATCTTATTTTAATCATAAATGGTTCCTTTTTTTCGAATTCAAGCATCTCAATCATCATTTTTGCCATGCCACAACCTTCAATTATACCTCGTAAAATCCTTTTCGGTAACCCTTCAAGAGCATCGCCAACAATTTCTCCTGATGGAAAATATTTAGCATTTATTGCACCCAAAGATGGTATACTAAACATTTACGTTTGTGACAATCCTAGGGATATTTCATCCGCGAGAGCAATTACCAATGATAAACATCGTGGTATCAGAACATACATGTGGAGTTTTAGTAATCGAATTATTTATAAACAAGATAAGGATGGTGATGAAGGTAATCAATCAACCAAATAATAAATAATAATTGAGATCAAAAAAATTTGAATAGTTTTTTTTTTTTTTCCTTCTTTTTATAGATTTTAAATTATATTCTGTTGACGTAAATTCTGGCGAAGAAATTTTATTGACACCGTTCGATAAAACAACTAGTACACCTGAGAGATTTTCTTCAGATTTTCCTGACGAAATTGTTATTTCAATTAATCACCCTGATCCAACGGCCTTCTCTTTATATCGTAGTAATTTAAAAACTGGTGAAATTAATTTAATTGAAGAGAATACTCAAGGATTTATAGGTTATTTTGTTAATGATGATTTAGAAGTTCGTTTTGCCACTAAACAAACCGATGAAGCGGGAAATGATGTTTATAGAAAAATTAATGATGAATGGGAATTAATGATTTCATATGATCTTGATGATACAATTTCTTCCGAGATAAAATCATTGGTAAAGGATGATAAGGATGAATTAGTTTATTTGACCGATTCACGTGATAGAGAATTTAATGCTTTGTATAAAATTAATTTAAACGATCCTAAAAAAAAACTTCATTTAGTAGTAGATCCAAAAAATCAAAAGTCTGATATCGGAGAAACCTTACTAGATCCTCGTACGAATGTTCCATTAGCTTACTCTTTAAATTATTTACGTAAATCATGGCACCCCATCTGTTCTGAAGTGTCAAAGGATTTAGATTTCCTGAAAAGTGTTGATGAAGGTGACATCTCATTCCTTTCTCAAACTTTAGACAATACTATTTGGATCGTTTGTTTTGAGAATGACACTCGATCTGCAATGTATTATTTATATGAAAGATCCGAAAGGAGTGTTCATTTATTATTTAATCAAAGACCGGAATTAGATGATTATGAATTAGTCAAATTACACCCTGTTGTTATCAAATCTAGAGATAACCTAGATTTAGTTAGCTATCTAACCGTTCCGCTGAAGAAACATGATCCTTATACTAAATATAAGCCTACTCACCCTTTACCTATGATACTTGCGGTTCATGGTGGACCTTGGATTAGAGATTATTTTACTCCTTTAAAAGGAGATCATCAATTCTTCGCTAATCGTGGTTACGCTGTTTTAAGTGTAAATTATAGGAGTTCAACTGGCCTTGGTAAAACTTTGCTCCGTTCTGGTAACGGTGAATGGGGCGGAAAAGCTCACGATGATTTAATTGGTATGTTGACTTTTATTTTTAAATAAAATATTTTTTGTTTTGAACAATATATACATATGATTTTGTAAAATACATTTTTAAAATTAAAAAGATGCGATCAACTGGGCGATTAAAGAAAAGATTGCATTGAAAGATAAAATTGCTATTTATGGTGGTAGCTATGGAGGTTATGCTGTTTTGGCGGGATTGACCTTTACGCCAGGTGTATTCGCTGCTGGTGTTGATATTGTTGGTCCTTCGAACCTTGGTAACTATTAATTTGATCTGCTCTTTTTTTTTCGTTGCTTTTATTTATATATCATAGATTAGATTATGCAATTCACAAAATTTTTTTATATTTTTCATAATCATAGTGACACTTCTAAAGTAAGTTTGGAAAACTATTCTGTAAATAATTTCTAAAATAAATCCGTAATCTCGTTTTAAATATAAATGTTAAACCTTTATACTAGATCGATTCCGCCGTATTGGAAAGCAATGTTAAACGAATTAAAGAAACGTGTTGGTGGTGATCCCGAAACCGAAGAAGGTGTTAAATTTTTGTCAAGTCGTAGTCCGTTAAATTTTGCAGATAAAATTTGCAAACCATTATTGATTGCTCAAGGTGAAATTTTTTTTTTTTTTATGTGTGTATGTTAATTTATTTATTTGATATTGATCCTTTTCCTTCTTTTTACCTAAAAAAAACTCTAGGACAACATGATCCTCGGGTTAAACGTGCAGAATCGTAAGCTTGGACTTTTAATCTAAGCGATCTTATGAGATTATTTATTTATTTTTTAATACTAATTTTCATTTCTAATTTTTAGTGATCAAATTGTTTCATCATTAGTATCAAAATCAATCCCAGTTGATTATGTAGTATTTAATGATGAAGGTCATGGATTTGCTAGACCAGAAAATAGAATATCATTTTTTGCCATGACAGAAAAATTTTTATCTGTTCATTTAGGTGGTAGATATGAAGAGGTTGGTAATGATTACGAAGGGTCCAATTTCACCATCATCAATGGTGTTGATATATAATGAAATTATGATTTAAGGTCTTACAGGAAAAGTTATTTGTAATAATAAAGATAAACATATATTTAAAGATTTGTTGATTATCTCGATAATCTTGATGAAAAGATTTATTATTTATTTCACATGATTTTTATAACGGTTACCCTTTTTTTTTAATAACTTGGACCTGCAAAGATTATGAATCATCACAAACTTTTATCATTGAATTGTACCGGTAATAAAACATGCATTTCATTTTACAAATTAATGATTATAAGTTCAGGTGATCCAGGTTAGAAAGAGTGAACTTTATAATGATGGTGATGATAAAGAAAATTCACTGATACGATCATCTGTGTGTATCATAGGTTCATTCTGTTCAAGATCAATTAAAAAGTTTTCGAGCATGATAATACCCGAGGAATTGAATTCCAAAGAATCGATCAATAAGAAATCAAGGAATAGACAAAAGAAAGAAGAAACCCAACGATCAAGATTAAATTCGATAACGGAACTATTCAACAACTTTTATATTCAACAATATGGTAAAGAACGTTGGCCAAACTTATTAAGTTCATTGAAGGGTCCTTCAAAATCTTGCGCAATGATAAATAAATTCGCTTCAAATACGAGCATACTCGAGTTCATTCATGAATCAAAGTCAAGTAACAATTCGGATATGATGAAGGTTGATTATTTAGGTGTGGACTGTTACATTAGTGATTCAAAATTTCCTAAACCAAAAAAAGACGAGCATAACATATTCAACGTGTATCACCTCGATTTGGCCTCCATAATGGTTACCAAGGCTTTGGACGTTCAACCTGGTGATATGGTACTAGACTTGTGTGCTGCGCCTGGTGGGAAATCCTTGGCCATTTTACAACGTCTCCTGAATAATGTTGATCAAAGGGGAGGTGCAAGTGAAGGAAGTTCGACTCGAGAAAGTGGAGGGATGTTGATCGCTAATGAAATCAACAATAAGAGATTTCATAGACTATTGCAAGTAATTAAATCTTACATCCCTTTTAAATATCATCAAGATCAAATCAAATTGGTAAAGAATTCTCCTATCCGGAATTTTAGCTATGATAAAATCTTAGTAGACGTTCCATGCTCTTCAGAACGTCATTTAATCACCGATCAAAATGAATTGTCAAGGTGGAAAGAATCCAGGTCCAAAAATTTTTCAATAAAACAATATAATATATTATTAGATGCTGTTAAGGCCCTTAGAATTAATGGTATTTTGGTGTATTCAACTTGTTCTATTAGTAATTTGGAGAATGATCTCGTGATTAAAAAAATTTTGGAAAATAGCTGGGTGGAATTACAAGCGGTTAAAAGAAACGATGGATGGGAATTCGGTGAAGAAACTGAATTTGGATGGATTGTTTTGCCGGATAAATGTGATGGTTATGGCCCAATGTATTTTACAATTTTGAAAAGGGTCGAGAAGGAAAATAAATTTTGAGAAAAAGTTGGAAAGTACGCGATTTTTTATTTAATTGTTGTAAAGCTTACATAAATATTAAATATAAGAAAATTTAAAGAGGTAAAAACAAAAAATATATATAATAAAGTAAATAAAATCTTTTTTCTGCACCTGTAATATAAAAAAGCTAAAACTAAAAATTTTGAAAGGCTATCCGTTACACAGAGAGAGAGAAAAAAAAAATTCATTATTTGGCGGTCTCGTTTAAAATATCCTTCGCAATCATAGTCGCCGCGATCGGATGGTAAAATGACCTGTTCGCAATAAAGGTTTTCTTCGCCAAATCTGATCCATTCTTGGTACCGTTCAACATTCTAGACAATGATAAAAGTGTATTAATAATATCGCTTGGCCCAATTAAGCTGTAATTTAATCGGACTTACCTATATAGGGGTCTGACGTATTTCATTCTTCCTTGTTCAGTTACAAATTTAACCACATGAGGAAATATTGGTTCATATTCTGTTGATAAACATAATTTTTGCCATCTGAAACGAACTTCAGAATTCCGAACTGAAGTTAAATTATAGATTTTATCCAATGCGATTATTGCTGAATGAGGTAAGGGCGAACATTCAAACATTCGGTCCAAGAACACCACTTTTCAATTGTTTTAAAATATATATATATATATTATCGAGATATTAATGTTTGGAATAAATGAAATTTTTTGTTCAAATATATCTTAAGATTAACTTACCTTTTTGATTCGTAATAAAATTTTCAATGTCTTTTGGTGAGAATTCTTCAAAATTTTCATTATTTCTTGCCAAATCCCACCTAACAAACCGAGAACACTATTAATCGTCTATTTTAAAACGAAATTAATATTAATATAAAATGTTCGAACCTTTTAGATAATTCATTACATGCTTTCGCAAATGTTTGGTCAAATTCATTAATTATTGGTGGCTAAAAAATCGATATTACCATAAGACTTCATTAAAATAAATATATATACACAATATTTGGTTAAATTACCATTCCAGGAGAATGTAACCAGGCATTCCAATCAATTTGATCTAATGCGGCTTTTTTCTCGGTCCCATAATTTTTTTCCATGTATAGATATAAGAAATTTTTCCAATCGTCTGTGGTGATTGCTTTACCACCAAATTCTTCAACATAAGCCTTCATATAAGGTTCAAAAAATTTAGGGCCACCGACTACTTTCTGAATGTAATATAATAGATTAAATCCCTTTTCTATAACAAAAAAAATGTAAAAGTAAATCAGCGATTTGCTATAAGTGATTTTGTTCGACTTTATAAAAAATGTTTTACCATATGGAACGCAGGAGAAACAATCATCGGGATCTATTCCTTTCAAAACAGGTTGTAATGCAGTCAAGGGGTTGTCTTTGCCAAAAAGATCAATATCATCTTTTAATAGACCCCATGCAATAATTGCGCTAAAATCACTAAATTGTTCGTCATGTACGCGACCTAGAATCTTTCTTTCAATAAAGACGGTCCATCCTTCATTAAGCCAAAAATGTTCCTATATGATAATTAATAATAATTATTAATTTCTATATATCTTTTTTTAAAATTATTTTTTTCATTTACCCAATTTGATGTTGTAACAAGATTTCCCATCCAACTGTGAGCAGCCTCGTGCGCGACTACATCCACAAGAGATTTATCTCCAGCTAACAATGTAGGTGTGACAAAGGTTAAACAAGGATTTTCCATACCACCACTTTAAAATGAAACAAAAAATTAATTATTAGTTATTAGGGTAATGATGTCCAATAGAAACAAAGTATATAATGATAAGTTACTAAGGAAATGAAGCAGGAAGAACCAATAAATCATATTTCCCCCATTTATAAGGAGTCAGAAGTTCTTCCCCTGTGGTAATAAATTTTTCAGTGTCTGAGAATTCCCAAGCAGCATCTTCTAAAACTTCTGGTTCAGTCCACACGGTTGATCTAGGACCAATTTCCTTGCCTTTCAAATTCCCGACTGCCAAAGCAATTAAGTAAGAGGGAATTTTTACTTTTTGTATAAATTTATAAAGTTTGAACTTATTGTCATCCATATCCTCTTCACCAACCCCAATAGCACTCATCAAAGCTTTAAGAGGATGGTGCACTTGAATGTTAGCACTATAGGTTAATTTGATGGATGGTGTATCTTGACACGGCAAAAGCGATCGTGCATGAATCTAAAAAAGTAACGCGAAAATTAGTTTTAGACTGATTATAATATATAATGATATATATTACTTTGATTCTTACCGCTTGACATTGTGTAAAGAGGTAAGGATGTTTCTTTCCAACAGTTTGACTGCGGTGTATTTTCGTTAGATTTAGTGAAGAAATTTAATGCAATTATTTGTTATTATAGGTACCTTGGTTCTAACCATTGAACCGCTGTACTTTGTTCTGTGGTGTTATAGGCTATTTCCAATTTGAATTCGGTACCAGCAATTAAAGGTTTATCAAGCTCAATGTGCAAGCCTTTTCCAAAACAAGCAGTTTCGTCACTAAAGTGAAACTTTTACGGGAGCAAGTAATTAATAAGAATCATCGTTTTTTTTTTTAACCACGCAAAAATATGTCGTACCTTCAGTGGTGTTTTGGCTTGCGAAACGGATCTAACATTGAGATTTCTCGTGTCAAGAACAACTTTGCTAACATTATCAGCTATGGAAATCAGACTAAGTGTAGCAGATCCATCGAGAGTTTTTGATTCGAAATTAACTTTCAAGTTTAATTCAATGTGAGTAGTTTGTATTTCGTCAATATTAGATAATGTGCTTGGGTCGTATACCATTTTGAAAGTTGTGACAAACGTATTTAATCTGTTTTTTGCAGGACCATTTACATCTGCATCTGATCTGACAATGAATGTCGATCACCCTCTAAATAATAATTTTTGATGTAAATCATGATTCAAAAACGCGTTTTTTGAAAGTAATGTTTAATTGATATTTTTTTTTTTTTGATAATTATTTGTTCAATAAATATATCATATGACTATCATTTTTCCTACAAACTAATTACGAAAATTAAAAAAGGTTGACGGAACATTCAGTTATAATTGTCATAACGCCTCAAAAAAAATTTGATCATCCCATTTCTTTTTTTGGATTAATTGTTTTGATTGTTTATAAATTTTTTAAAACAAATAATAATACTCTCACACACTTTCTCTTTTTAGGGGTAAATTCTAGTAAAATTATTTTTTTTTTTATATTCTTTTTATTTTTATTTTCTTAAATAAACTACTTCTAAGCGAAGTACCTTTTCGTAAATTGCATTTTGTGGATTTTAAAAGTCAGCAATTATTAAATTTCATCATTAGTTAAAATGATATCACTACTTCCAGAAGACTGTCTAATCGATATCTTTGAGTACCTACGAAATGATTTTAAATCTCTGAATTCCTGTGTTCGTGTTAACCGGATTTGGAATGAAAGTGCAATTTCGATATTATGGAGTAATCCCTGGATTATTGAAGAAGTAAATGAAAAGGTTAAGGGCCAAGGAAAGCAAATCGAACTCATTGACATTTATATTTCATCCTTGCCTCAAAAATCCAAAAATTTTCTGCAGCAAAAAGGGATTGTGATACCAAAATTTTCTCAACCTTTCATATATAATTATACGAGCTTTATGAGAACTCTTAATATATCATATATTGAAGATTGTGTTTGGACTTGGGTGACTAATCAAACGAATAATTCGGTGAGGGACTTTATACAAAAAGTTGAATTGATCATACTTCATTTATTACAATTAATTCTGAAAGAATCAGGAATTCGAAAGATTATCGCTTATTATATTTCAAGCAACAAGGCCACACTCCCTCAATTAGTTGATATTTTAACAAAGTTTCCAGAATTTGGAACGTGTTTTTCACACCTTCAAGAAATCGTATGTGACAGTACCCTTTCAATAATCCCTCAAGTGTTTGAAAAGTTAATACCATACAGCAAGATGATTAAACGGATCGTAATAAAGAAATATGAGGATTCGAGGGAACTGAGTAACCTGATTGGGACTCAAGCCGGTTTGCAAGAACTATTAATATATCATGAAAATTACAATTATCTCATCCCATTTGCAAAGCAAGAAGTTTTTAAGGGGATGATATTACAGTCAAAAAATTTATTACGATTGGAACTTTATTCTTTTGATTTCCCAATTCATACCCTTGGAGAATTTGAAAATTTAGAAGAATTGAAATTGTTTAGATATGGATCATCATTCATCACTCCTGAAAGTTTAGCACCTTTAGCAACAATTTCATTAAAGAAACTTAGAAAGGTCTCTTTTCATAATTGGGTTTTGATGCATCTTGAATCCTTTGCTAATTTTTTTGAAAATACTAACGAAGAATTAAGAGAGATTGTAATTAGAACAAACTATACGATCGCTGATCGACAAAATACGGGGAAACTTATCAATTCAATTGGAGTTCATTGTCCAAAACTTGTCACCTTGGAAGTCCCTGGTTCGCCTGAGGATGGTCATCAATTGAAAACTTTATTAGAATCCTGCAATAAATTACAACATATTTCCATTTACAATATTAATCAAAAGAATAAGAAAAATTTAAAAGAATCCGAAGAGGGATTTAATGAAAATTTATTACAAATCCTTACACGTCATTCTTCGCCTAATTTGAATCGTTTATCGATAAGTCATATTGAGTTTTCAATGAAAGATATCGAATCATTTCTTGAATATCGTTCATTAATTTCTAGGCCAATTATATTTCATTTCAATTTTGGAAATGATAAGAAAATCAAAAATCTATTAAATAGGTATAAAAAGAGGGGAATTTTGAAGAAAGAACCTGTAATAAGATCAAGTTAATTAACAAGAGAATCTTTTAAAATAAATAAAAAAAAAATTCTTTAGGGTCTTCTATGCTAATAAAATTTAGAAACAATGTAAAAGTTTTTCTCAAATATCGACATCTTATTATTAAATTTATAGGCGCGATACCATTTTCGTTGTCTCCTGCATATGTATGACATTCCTAATATTAAAAGATAATTTTTTAATGGAAAAAATATTTGACGACAAAATGATCCTCAAGAAAGTTCTGCATCATATTTCAAATTTCAAAATGTATATACAGTGACTTCCATAATTATTGTTCCACTTCGTTTAAAATTTTCAAATCATAATACCCATGCAATTAAATAA